TGCTGAGTTGCCATCTGGGCCTAAATCGCAACGGCTGCCCTTTAGCTCCTTCGTAAAGGGCACAAACCCATCAATGACTCGTGTTACTTAAAGTCATCTGGTTTTTATTAAATTTAACAGAGTTTTAGTGCTGCATTTATTTTTCTGTAAAAAGCAAAGTACCAAATTCTAGTAGTCGTACACCTTTCCACAGTACTTAATTTGTAACTCTTCAGATTGAGAGAGGAAACCCTACACCAACACAACAGCCATGCCAGGCTAGCCTCAAGCATCCATGAATAAACTCACCACCTGCTGGCTTTGTGCATTCATGGGAACAGTAGCACACCCTCCAAGCTTTGCCCTAGGACTTCTCCACTGCTGGAACATTCCAGGCTTACACACAAGGACCCTGATGACAGACCCAGATCGAAGTTTTAAATAAAGTCATTATTTTCTTGTCAATTACTCAATTTTTCACAGGACTTCAAAAAGAAAAGAAAACCCAATACTAGACAGTGGTGGTTAGTGTTACACATAGGGGAAGTGAAATGATACTACAAACACCAGCTCTTCCTATAGGAGAAATTGATGTCAATTAGTAGCACCAAATCATCTTTTCCTTTCAACACACTTAATTGCAGTCTCTGGTTCTGGCCTGAGATCTAGAGCCATTTGAGTCCTACTTCTGCCCATTTACTAGTTGCAGTTCAAAGCCGTTGTTCTTTAAAGGAAGCAAGAGAACATTTTTAAGTTTTGACCAAGGTCAAGCCCACAGCAGCTACATTAAGGTCCTCTAATTTAATCGGAGGACCTAGCACCACAACTTGTAAAAGTAGATGCTGGTTACTGATTGTTTCAGGTGCTTATTCCGGATGGACTTTTCAAACCAAGTTTTTCTAACGATGAAGGACATTAAAAACATGTTACCTTTGTGGCCTGCCAGAGGAACTCTTCGCCGTAGGGCCTTCATACTGCCCCTGTAACTTGTACGCTACTGAGCCGCCTCTTAGCCACTTCTGTGCAGACATCCCTTCTGCTCTTCACCGTTTGCTGAACTCAGACTCAGTCCTCTGTCCTTCTCTCAGAGAGTGGGTAGCTTGTCATCTCAGTGTCTATCTTGCTCAATTAAGGATTTGAATGCAGAACTCAAAATAATGGCAAACTCAACAAACCCAATTCTTTAATAAGCATTAAGATACCTAGCTCCTCTGCAAGCTGTTGTAGGGCAGGAAGAGTGAAACAAAAGCACCTTTAGAACACCCTAGAGCAACAAAAGCTGCATCAGAACCTGCAACAGTTACCAGAGTCTGACACTGTTTAATTACAAGTATTGCTTCATAATATTTTTTAACAAAAGATCCCCTGTTTAAGAAAACAGTATTAAGAGAAAAACTCTAGTTGCTTTACTGTACTCAGTATGTCCATTGCATCTAGTGCGCTGCACGTGATCAGAAGCCACTGGTAGATGTCAGTCTCAATCTGCATCTGATGCCCCAAATCTCATCGCTCTTGGCCTTGCCAGCAGTTGGCCGTGCGATACTCGTTAACGGTGAGCAATTGAACTTTATTTGAGGAAGCACTTCCTTAAGGAGCATTAGGGAGGTATCAGGCATTATTCCAAATACCTGAAGAGTCTTTAATGTTGGTATTTCACCAAGTTTTCTAGAAAGAGAAAGCAGAAAGTTTATCATTAACTGGAAAGCATTTTTGTTCAGTCTGTACCACAACTAATAACTACATTCCTACTGATTTTTAGAAGGTAACTACTTAAGCTAAATTCCACTTCCTACTTTTAAAAAGCACATGTTTAATTGAAACAAGTTCTCTGTGTTGATAATTCAGGAAACTGGCTGAATAAATTGCTTGATTCTTCTCCGAGTGAAAACAAAGTGGTTCCTTGCCTTCCATTTCCCTGGACATAAATGTTTAAGGGTAAGTGGGAAGTATTGCGCCCGATGAAGTTTTAGGATGTGGCTTAGAGGACCCATGCCCCTAGGTACTAATCAGTAGGTTTTTCAACACGGTACTTGCGATTCTAATCCTAAAATAAAGCAAGTTTAAGTCAACTTATCCTCTGTACAAATAGCAAGCCAAAGCCATTTAGAGATCACTTACATTAAGGAAGCAGGAAGGAGCTGGTAACATCGGCTAAGACCCAGATGTTGTAGAAAGGGGAGTCCATGAAAATACTCAAAGCACCCATGGTTCAACATTACGCTGTCACTGTACACGTGAGGACATGAAATAGGGGTTTAGGTATAAAGCAGCACTAAACTTGTTATTACCAAAACCCAGAGTAGGAAATTTAATTAATATAAAATTCTTTTTCTACCACTAGAGTGTGGTGGGGTTTGGGGTGTTTTTTTTTCTTTTTTTTTGTTTGTTTTGTTTTTACGCATTATGGAAGTAACCTGTTCCTAGTGTGTCTTGCAGGGGTGGTATTTTGAATTTCACTGAAGGGCAAGTGAAGCAGAAGCTTCTTTGGAGGCAGATACTCCACAGCAGAACTCATATTGAGATTTCAAAACATTTTACTTGAATAGGCCAAAACCAAAGTATACTTTTTTCTGCCTCTTCCATCCCCCCT